GGGGGGGGGGGGAGGTGGGTGGGGGGTGGTGCATGGTACCTGTTTATACTGAAAGGTAGCACAGGAGGAGAGCGCAGTGGTTGGATGGGGAGTGGTACCTTCCTCTACTGACATGTACCAAGAGTGGAGCGGGTAGAGGTTTTACAGATACTAGTAGGCGGGAGCTTCCTCTACTGGCATCCACCATGAGCAACCCGGATGAAGCACTCACGTAAGGAGTTACCACTGGGATGGACAGTTTGTGTTTGACAGCAAGGTACTGTGTGCAGAGGCTAACTACCAGCAAGGATCTCCACACTTCGGCTTTCAAGAGAGGCCTCCACCTTGCCTGAGGTCACCATCATCCTATTTCTGGCCCCTGCTCATTTGCTCTGTGGATTGAAGTCACGTGAGAGTCGGGGATGAGGGTAGAGGAGCAAGTGATGTGGTTCCAGGACGGATGCGCGGGGCAGAGAGAAACGATAAATCTGAAAGGTTTGGTCCGGATGGGATTGCGTACTCAGCATCTGCCAGGGTGGAGAACTCTCAGGGGGCAGAGGAGGAGGGTTGCCCTCCGTTGGGAGTTGATGGTTTTAACGTGGGACTCGTAACAGTGGAGGCGGAGTTGAGAGTGCAGGGCTCAGAATCCTGCCCAGGAACCTCACACGCCTCACCTGCTAAGGAGAAAAGATGCTGTCAGGTGGCTGGGACCCCAGGCTCGGTCTGCTTTGACTTCTGGTCCTTCCATTCGCTCTCTTTCTAAACAATGCTCATTGGATTCTGTTAGACTGATCTCAGCGCCCAATAACAATTCCCCACTGCGCTGAGAAAATCACTGTGTCTGACATCTGCCCTCCAGAATGCCTGTGTGTCCCCGAGGGCCAGAGACAGATTAGAGAGGGCTTGTGACCCTTTCCCACCCAGGTTCCTCCACAGCGGCGGTGACCCGCTCAAAAATAAGAAGTCAAATGTTAAGGGATAGGATTTTAGGTGTTAGGCAGGGGAAAATATTTGGGTGGATGCAGATGGATAGGAGGTGAGTGAGTTGTTAGGACAATGATTGTCCCACCAGGCATGTATTGGCCCTGACTCTGTTTCTGAGCTCTGCAAGATATAGTGGAGATGGGACACTGGGCTCCTGTCATCCCAGTGGAGTGCAATACAGGTCCCCGGGGAGGCCAGACCTTAGCCCAGTGGAGTAACACCTTGGCGAACATGTACTTAGAGACCTCTTTAGCCTGGCTGAGGGCACTGAGGGCTCTGGCACGCGGGGGAGAACAAGACCCTTGAGGCACTGCTTGAGGTGTTTTTAAGAATCCCAGGAGTAGTAGGAAAGAGACAAATATACAATTCTCCCCAAAGGAAAGAGAATCGGACTACAGACCTGTCCTCTGTCCACTCTGTTGGCCTGTATCATTTCTTTTTCATTTTCTTAGATGGGAAAATATTAATTTTTTGAGTCGGAGTCTCACTCTGTCGCCCAGGCTGGAGTGCGTTGGCACGCACATGGCCACCGCAGCCTCGACCTGCTGAGCTCAGGTGATCCTTCTGCCTCACCCTTCCAAGTAGCTGGAACCACACATGTGCGCCACCGTGCCCGGCTAATTTTTTTAAAAAATTTACTGTAGGGACGTGGTCTCTCCATGTTGCCCAGGCTGGTCTCAAACCCGTGGGCTCAGGCAATCCTCTCCCCTCCACCTCCCAAGGTGCTGGGATTACAGGTGTGAGCCACTGCGCCCAGCTGGAAAATATAGTTTGTTTAGAAAGTAAATTAGAGAGAGCAGAGAGAGGAGATTCACCTCCCCAAGGTAGGGGAGGGGGCCGAAGCTAAGAAACATGGCAGCCTCAACTGTCGCCCAGGTTAGAGTGCGGTGGCACGCTCACAGCCACCGCAGCCTCAACCTGCTGGGCTCAGGCGATCCTTCCGCCTCGGCCTTCCAAGTATCTGGAAATGCAGGCATGGGCCATCTCACCCGGCTAATTTTGTTATTGTAGAGACAAGGTTTCACCATGTTGCCCAGGCTGGTCTTGAACCCGTGGGCTCAGGCAATCCTTTCGCCTCCACCTCCCAAAGTGCTGGGATGACGGGCGTGAGCCACCGCACCCGACTGGCCTGTATCATTTCTAGTGCAGACAGAACTACTTGGTACGGACCAAGTGCTCTGGTTTGGGTCCTTCACTCACTGAATAAGCACGTCCCAAGCTCCCAGTGGACAGCACATCTTCACATACTGGACACGGTTTGAGGACGCAGGGATGCTTTAAGCTGTATCCTTGTGGGCAGCTGACCCCCACACTGAGGTGGGGTGAAGAGAGTGACGGCAGAACTCAGTGCACGGATGACCCCCACACTGAGGTGGGGTGAAGAGAGTGACGGCAGAACTCGGTGCACGGAACCCTAGGAACACAGAGGGGAGGACTTAACCCCTCATCTGGATGAGAGATGGCTTGGTCAGTATAGATTCCTCAGGGCAGGGGAGGTGTGTGCAGGGGGCACTTTGATTCTCCAGTTCACAGTCGAGAGATCTGGAGAACACGGGAGGAGCCAGATTTCCACAGTCCATCTCTTGGGCTCCAAACCACCTTTGGAGTCTGATCAACTCCAGAGCTGTGTTGCAGCCACTCAAAATACTCCCTCCGGGCTGTTTGCCTCTAGATTCCGGTTACCTGTTCAATCGAGTGAGGCTGATGGAGACATCACGTAGGGGTGGGGTAGAATGCAAAAGTGCATCTGATATGGCAGCGTGCCTCCCTGGGGGAACCCTAGAAGTGAGAGCCCTGCTGGGCTTCAGCTCTGAGGAAAGCCCGTCTCACCGAGGGACTCCAGGCCTGGTGTCTTCAGGGCAGCTTCCCTTGGGGCAGACCCAGAGGTCTTAGACCCTCTCAGGGTGGCTCTGCTCTGCCAGGGCCAGTGTTCCACAGGTGGGCATGGTGTTGGAATGTTGCTGGCTGTCCCATCATGGAATCACATCTGCATCTCAGCAAGGGGAACAGGAGCAAAGTACGCCACAGTGAGTGGGAGGAGGCCTGGCTCGGGAGTCAGGGGGAAGCTGGGTGTGATCCCTAGATCCAGCCTTTTCCGCAGCAGTGACCTAACCCCGTTCAGTCTGGTTCCTTGTCCATAGATGGGGGATTTGATGCTTATGTCTCTGGGTCCTTGGGAAACACACACTGCACGTGTGCGGCACTCAGTAGGTCCTCAATAGCCAGGCTCAAGGAAGAGCTATTCACACTGTGTCCATTGTTAGGGACACATCAGTGTGGAGGCAAGCATGCCAGGGCCCCTGAGAGCCTCGTGTAGCCTCCAACCAGGGTGGGGGGTTGGGTGGCGGTGGTGGGACTGGGGCCATTTCCATCTTTTCTCTTGTACTGTCCACACGTCCCAAGCACACACTTCACTTCATACTTAGGTGTGCCATGCTAGGAGGAGTTTACTAGCATAGGTGTGCTGAGTGGAACTGATCCTCACAGTTCACTCTGTCCCAGGCAGAACCAGCTGGGGGGTCAAACTCTCCACTGGACATGAGCAGTTTCCTCCAGGGCATTATCAGGCCCATTGAGGACACCTAGGAGTTGCATGAAGGCCTTGCAGACCCCCTGGGAGGGTCCCTTTGGGGTGGAGGCAGCTGATCCTTGCCTCCCTGTCAGTATACTTTCTTCCATCCTGAGAGGAAACTCGGACTGTAACCTACACTGAATGTACAGTGTACAAAATCTGCAGGAGGGGAGTCCAAGACCTGTTTAATTTACTGGCTCATAGACGCCATAAAGTGACAGATTCTTTCCATGTTTCTGCTTCTCCTTCGGGTCCTCAGCCTGCATCCCTTCATGGAACTAAAGTCACGGCCACGATTCCAAACTCCCCAATGAAACACAATGGGTCCGTGTCAGTGAAGGGGCGTGCTGTGTGTGTGCCCTTATTCTTTAAATTTATTTTTTGTCGTATATATTTAAGGCATACAACATGATGCTTTGTTTTATACAGGTACACAGTGAATGATGACTACAGTCAAGGAAATGAGCCTGTCACCTTCCCTGGTTACCGTTTCTTTGCAAGCAATCCTTTCCTAGAAAGCCCTGCTGTCAGATGACATTTCCAACAGGTGGGTCCATTTGAGGAGTTTTTGTGTGTGTGTGTGAGTGGGAGTCTCACTCTGTCGCCCAGGCTGGAGTGCAGTGGCACGCTCATGGCCAAGGCCGCTGCAGCCCCACCCTGCTGGGCTCAGGCGATCCTTCTGCCTCAGCCTTCCAAGTAGCAGGAACCACAGGTACATGCCACCACACTCGGCTAGATTTATTATAGAGGGGAGGTCTAGTCAAGTTGCCCAGCCTGGTCTCAAACCCCTGGGCCCAGGCAATCCTCTCGCCTCCGCCTCCCAAGGTGCTGGGATTACAGGCATGAGCCACCATGCCCCGCTCATTTGGGGAATTTTAATGAGCTGCCATCTCGTGCTCTTCAGTAAAAGTATCAAGCCTGTTAAATGCGCCTTGTCATCCAGATGGTCCCTGGGTGATATGGAAACGGCTCTCCTTAACCTGAGAGCTGAAGGTAAATAGGAATCAGGCAGAGGAGGAAGGAGGAAGGAGGAAGTACAAGCCAGAGGGAACAGAAGGTGTGCTGTTGGGGGGAGGGGGTGGGGGGGAAGGAGGGATAAAGAGAGAACACGTGAGCGCGCAAGGCTGGGCCAACTAATGAACAGAAAGAGGTTAGAATGTGTGGAATATTGAGTGTGGAGTGCAGCAGCAGGAGGCATCTGCTACAGAGGAAGCGGTTTGGGGGTCAGCGGAGCCAGATATGCCTAGTTCAGGAGGCTGGATGTTATCCTAAGAGCAGCAGACAGCCCCCACAGAGTCTGAGCAAAGGTGGCGTGACCCGATCAGGAGCTAAGGAAGTTCCTTCAGGTACTGAGAAGTGCATGCGTGGGAAGGGGTCAAGACGGGCAGCAGCAGGACTAGCTACGCACTGGTGGTGGTCAAGGAGAGGTGAGGTGACTGGATTAGGGAATGTCCTGTGGTGATGGAGAGAAGCATAAAGATCTTACTGAGAAAGACTCGGGAGTTCGAACTGGCTGGGCTTGGTGATGGTGGGAGACAGGCAGCAGGACCTCTGGCCTAAGCTGCTGGGTAGAAGGTGGTGCCTTTCACTGCGTGAGGCGACAGACAGTGGAGGAGGAGCAGATGCACAGGGGAGCAGATGCACAGAGAGTGGGGTGAATGGGTTTCCCTTGGGACACGTTGAGGGTTAGCTGCAGTGGGACTCAACCAGTTATGCCTTGAGTGACTCTCCAGTCACAACCTCTCTGTGCTTAAGCCTCGTATGTAATAGGAGCATTATAGTAATTAGGCAAAATGTGTTTCATGTGTTTACTCTAGGAGACTTCTCTTCTGATACACCACAGTGGCCTTTTCTTGTCAGGCCTTCCCTGGTAAGACGGAAATCTCTCTAATCTGTATTGTTGACTCGATTTTACATATCTGCCATGGGTACCTTAGCCATTTGGTATGTACTGCCAATGCCAAAGACATAATAAGCCTTTTTCTCAGAGAAACACCCCTTCCCGCCCCCAGCCCTCCAATCTTCCTCTGATAGCCCATCTCTCCCTCCCGTGGGTGGGGTAGGGCCTTTGAGACCAGGTTCCCTAACTCTCTCTTGTCTATGAAGTCGCCTTCACTGCTTGGGAAGTTGTCTCAGAACCGTTAAGTGCAATCTGCCGGTGGGGTTGACAGTCGGCTCGGGAAGTCTGTAGTTTTGGAGAGAGGACTGAGCCGGATATGCGGATGGGGGAAACGAGCAGCGTATGGTTGCAAAGCAGGGAAGTGAGGAAGCCAGACACCTGGATTTGAATCAAGGCTCCGCCACCAACTTATTCCTTGTGTGACTTTGGACAGGGAACTTAACCTCTCTGTGGCCCAGGTTCCTGATTTGTAAGCTGAGAATGATGACGATATTCTGGGATAGCAGTCATCTTTGCTTCCTTCATTTAGACCACAAGAATGTTGCTTTTTGAAAACCATAGAGTGCTGTCACAGGGCAAAAAAGAGAATCATCTCTCTACTATCCATGTATCTGCTTGGACAGACATGAAAGGTGCCTTGCTTATTTTTTACCTTGCTGACGATGCTGAGCTTCACCGGACTCCCGAAACAAGCCACGGTCAAGAAATCGCTGCACGCTTTCCTGTTCTGGGAAATGGTCCCACGACGGACCACTCTTCCCCCACGGGACTTAGGCGAGGGTTGCTATCTGTCCACTCTATGCCATGACTCCCAGAAGACTCGCTGATGACGGGCCCTGCCACTGTCCTTTGTCTCTTGAGCAACTGGGTGAGATGGGAAAGCAGCTCGCCACAGTAACATCTCAGTTCAGCTGACTGAGACCTCGCTTGATTACAAAAACAACCCCCAGCCCCCGTAAACCTCCTCTCTAAAACTCTTCTACTGCTCTCTAGGGAAGTGAAAATACAGAACCATCCCGCTCAGACATTCTGATCGCCAGATCTCGGGCGCCCTCCCGATTGCAGGAGCCCGGATACGTTAATGTTCTCGGCTTGTCTGGTGTCGCTCTTTACGAGTGTGCAGTCGTCGCCCGTGCACAGACGGTCGGTACAGAAACTCAAAAAGCGGGTGTGGATGGATTCTTACGTGTGCACTCTACATCAGAGCCCTCAGCCAGTCGCGGGGGAAGCCGGCCTCCTCCAATCCCTCCAGCCCGGGCCCCCGGTCCCACGCCCGTTTAGTCACCCCCGCTGCCCTGAACCTCTTTCCACGGCCTCAGGGAGCATTCGTCGCATGTACGGACCACGCTCCCGGAGGGAGGGCGCATCGAGACAGCCGCGTAGCGCTGCGGGGAGGGGCGGCCCCTCTGCCCAGCCAGGTTGGGCGGCAGGGGTCGCGATAACCCACCCGGCGCTCCCTCCCGGGCTCACGCGGCAGCCCGGGACAGCCAGCCAATCGAAGGCCCCGTGTCCCTGAGCGGCGCGTCCCTGTGACGTCGGCACAGCCCCGCGGACGCCTGATGGCCCGGCGCGGCCTCTCTAGCCCTCCGGAGGGCGGGTCCTCTCGGTGGCCTTAACCCTTCTATTCCGAGCGGCCGCGCTGCGCCTCCAGGGTCTCAGCGGAAAGGAGGCAGCCTGCTGGCGTCCGGACGGCGGGAACCGGCTCCGGAGAAAGAACGCGCGTGAGAGAGACGGAGAGAGAATGAGCCGGGAGAGAGGGCGAGAGCGCGAGCGAGAGAGGCGCAGGAGGGGGTGGGAGAGAGACAGAGACAGAGACAGGGGCTCTCCCCCAGCGCAGGCCAGGGGTGCGTTCGTGTCTCGGGACTAGGATCCTCTGTTTGGCCGCCCGGGAGAGGGGTCTCTTGAGAGGACCGTGGGTCTTCTCGGACGCCCGTATCTCCTCCGTGTGGGGATGGCGGAGGTACCATCTGCGTGTGGCGCACTTCTCTTCCTCCAGTTGGGGATGGCCATTTTTAAGCGGAGAGACAGGATGCGGAGACTGTCTGTGGGCAACACCTGGGAGACAATTGGGCTCGAATCAGCGTTCAACAGGTTCAGAACTCACCTGTCTCCTTGACACCGCCTCCCTCCCCACCTCCTCTCCCACCCCACGGCACGAGGCAAAGTGACCCACGACATTTCCCTCACTGATTGAGACCATTGGAGACACTCTCCTTAGGACGTGTGAGAGGAGATGGGTCATGGTGTGGCATAGGGACAGGCGTGCTTTGAAGGGGCTCTGTGATTCCCGCGTTCGTGTGGCGATTGTTCAGACCACTTGTAGCAAATAGCACACAGTTCAGAGAAGGGAGGCATCTTTGCTCGTCCGGGTCGCTGGAGTGCAGCCGATCCTGGGCAGTAGGCCTCTCTGCGGTGAGAAATGTGGTGTTGGGATCAGCCACGGATTCCCATTTGCATTTCCAGTGCCGTTTCCCTCTTTTCATATACCCCACCGGGTGTCTGGGATTTGGGCGAGCCTGTGTGTGTGGAGCGGGCGGGTGTTTCGGGTGCTTGTTTTGTCCACGAAGGAAAAGTGAGTGGCCTTGCTTCTCTGGGCCTCTCAAGCTACCAGCGAAGGAGAGATGGGACAAAAGGAAGGGATTTCAACAGCTCCCGGTGTCTCCCTGGACACTGCCAAGGCCTGGAACGTCTTGGCCTTTAATAAAATGTGTCGTGAATAATTTTCACAGGGAAGCGCTGCTTTTACGGTTTCTAGCTGGAAATTGGTCACATTTAAAACCGTACTCCAGACTGTCTGAAATAGCTCAGTTCAAACTCTTAAGTTGCAGTAATGCGTTTCCGTTCCCCGGCATGGGCTGGAATGGATACCGAAGAGAAATGTTTGGTTCTGGGCTGGGCAGTGGTGCAGGGCAAGGGAAATGTACGGGGTCCTCTAAGTAAAAGGCCCGTCATGCTAAAACAAAATCTGTACTGTATCTGGCAGATTGTGAGAACTTGAAGGTAAGGCAAGACACGGGTAAGTAGAAGGCGGCGAATGGGAACTTAAACAGGTGACAATATCAAGAGGGAGGGGTTGGTGTAATAGTGCAGAACCTTTGTGTGCGCAGACCTAAGTGAGAGATGGTCACCACCGCTACCTGGCTGTGCGATCTTGAGTGAGTTGCTGAACCTCTCTGATCCTCAGTTGCGTCATCTGCAAGTGGGGATACTCATGTTATATATCTCGTCAAGCCCTGGGAGAAGCCGTTCCTGACTGGGCTGAGGGGCCCTCCTCTGTGTTCCCAGACTCCCCTGTCTTACACCTGCCATGGCTCTCATCTCTCCTTTTGTCGGTCTTCACTACGGCTCCCACCCCCCAGACGGTGAGCTCTTTGAGGTCTGTTATCCTGCAGGACACATTGGCATGCACGCAAAGTCTACCAAAGCACAGATCCTGGAGCCTGGCGCTCAGCGGGTGCTCCGACATGTTTATCTATGAGTGACGATGACCCGTGCCACCCACTCAGTGCAGTGTCGCTATCTGTCGTTTCTTAGGAACAATACACACTTAGCCCTCTGTACTTGCGGCTGGTCCTGCATGGCAGGAGTCAACCAACCTTGGAACGAAAATATCAGGGGGAGAAAAATGATACAAGTTACAGATAGCCATAAGTGTAACAACTGTTTGCATAGCATTGACATGGTCTAGGTCTCGTTAAGTAATCGAGATGACTTAATGTATCTGGGAGGATGTGCGTAGGTTGTATGCAAGTACTACACCATCTGATATCAGGGATTTGAGCATCCCAGAATTGTAGTCTCTAGACGCAGGGGTCCTGGAACCACTCCCCTGCTGATACCGAGACAATTGTGAGTGGATACAGCGTATATCTCCGCGTAATTTTCTCTTAATCCCGAGGGCGTTTGCCTCTTCCCTCCTCCCCCACCCCCCACCCCCCACTGCCCAGAGCCGAGTGGTATCAGTGCAATACCCATATGGTTCCCTTCCCAGCATAGTGTTCTCCCAGCTGTTTGTCAACTGGACACGCTATGTTGCGAATGAGCGAACACGGCAGATCCTCTGCTCAAATTTCTGTTCATTCGGGGGCATGAGGAGCATTGTGTCTTCTGTCCCCACTCTGTCCACAGGTGTCCTGTGTCCAAATTTTGCACCTTTGCGCCACATCCCGGACGGTAGTTTACTTCTTAAGACTGAGCTCTGTCCTCGGGTTGGGGCGGCACTGGATTCTTCGCCGAAGGGACTGCCGAATAGAGGGGGCCCTCGGCAAATGCTTGGAGGAACGCACCCCGGCCAGTCAGGCTCTTTTGCTTTGCAGGTGAGAGGCGCAGCAGTCGCTCTGGCCTACATCAGCAGAGTCGACGATGTGAACCCAGGGACCAGTGACTTTGGGTGAGTCCAGAGGAGACTTGCTGCTTATCATTCCTCTTGCTGCTTTGGCCACTCCTCCTCTTGGCCCTTTCCCTGCGTCCCTCCCTTGTACTCCTGCTGCTTTCCCGGGACTGGAGATGCCTCTCTGCCCCACCCGCACCGAGCCTCTTCATGCAAGGACCGTGTTTCATCCATTCCCTTCATTTTCTTTCACACTCACAAGTGGGCATTGCTGGCTGTTCAGCGACATAACTGTCCTTCTGTAGTGACGCTGCTAAGAAGAGTATACCCTGCATCCTAGACCCGGTAGCGGAGACTTTCTGTAGGTAACACCTGGGATATAATTGGGCTCGAATCAGTGTCCAACAGGCTCAGAAGTCACCTGTCTCCTTGGCCCCACCTCCCTCTCCACTCGAGGGTTATCTGGTTATCTGCATAGCACTCACAAACATAGGACGCCTGCATGCTCCTTTCTTTCATCTGTGTGGCGTGCGTGGCTAGGAATCAGAGTCCTTTTTCCCTGACACTGTACAAGGCCGGGAGTGCAGTTTTCAGCACCCAGCGACCTTGTACGGAGCTTAGTCGTTTAGCTGTAGGATTTTGCCACTTCTGGAGGAGTCCAACTACTATGTATTTGACATTGCAAATGAACTCTGGGTCTTGGAACCGAAATCAGGTCATGTTATTAGGGCATTTCATATCATTACAGAACATTGAAAAGAGCATCGCATGTCACTGGCTTATTTGTCAAAATAAACACAGAGCACTCATCACCCGGCCCAGGTATGTATTTGCTTGCTTGGCTGTTTTCTTTCTCCTTCCCCTCAGGATAATTCAAGCTCATGGGAGCAGTGAGTTTGTGAGGTTCGTTCTGTGCAGCTCTCTCGGTGCTGGGAACACCGCCTGACACCTGAGAGGGACAGTAAATACTTGCAGCATCACTGGCCTGGTCCTTGGACAGCTGTGGACACACGGGCCAGCCCAGGACTTTCCTGTCTGAACTCTCCCTCAGGCTGACTTTCGAGCTTCAGCTTCTGGGGGGGTCTGAGAACCAGGGAGAACGTGCCGCCAAGTTTACGTGCATCTGGAGTCAGGCGGGCCTGGGTTGAAATCCCGTCCCTTGCCAGTTGTGTGACCTGAGGGACATTACTTAACTTCTCAATTCAGGCATTCCCACTTCTGCAACACTGGAAAATAGGGATTCCGCACGGTTGGCATGCTAAGTGAGATTCTCCTTATTTGATTCGATTGATATTTGTGAATGTCCACTGGGACCAAGGCTCTGTGATGGATGAACAAGATAACGTCCCTGGACCTTGTCAGGCTAGTGGGTGGGACAGACAGATAACCGCCTGTGGACAGCTCAGTGGGCTGGGGTCCACAGGGGAAATACAGGGTGTTGGGGAAGGTCAGAGGAAGGTTCCCCGTCCGGAGCTTGGGGAAGACAGCAGAGAAGGCTTCCTGGGGGAAGTGCCGTGCCAGCTGAGTCCTGAGGGGTGAATAAGAGGTGAAAATCTCGCAAGGAGCCATTCCGGTCCCCAGCTTTTCCCCTAAGACTGACACGGTCACATCCCATTTCACTTGCTCCTGAGTCATTGAAGAGTAGGCATGTGACCCCGTGCTGGCCCATGGGAAATGAAGACGATGTCTGCAGGTGCGACTTCTGGGATGCTTCCTTGCCCCCAGGAAAGATTCAGGAGTAGAGAAAAAGTGCCTTTCTTCACTCGGATGTTGCCATATCAGGGTGGCAGTCCTGGAACAAGTGTAGCAGGAAAGAACAGATCTGAGAGACGTTTTTTGGTGGCAACACCAACCGGTTCTTAGGTTATCTGCTTCCTGGACCCAGCCCTCCTCCTGACTTGCTTTTGTGAGATGGTGAATTGCCTTTCTGATGGGACCTGATTAAGGAGGGGTTTTCTCTTTGCTCACAGCTAGAAGTAGACTTCCTGATACGGTGAACATTGTGGAAAGTATTTTTGGAGGGAGCAATAGAGTGTCGTGCATGGTCAAGGACACTAGCTGTGATCCTGGACATGCTTCCTTTCAGCCCAGTTCTGCAACTTGCAATCATATTGTCTTGAGAACATTAACGTCCTCACCTGTGAAATGGGTTTTTTTCTTTTTTCTTCTTTTCTTAATAAGCTCTTTCATTCTAGGAGTTTTTTTCTTGTTAATACTAACAAGACCAAACTAAGAGGGCCATGTCTGGAAGTATGTAAGGAGGCAATGTGAGCAAAGCTTGTGGAAATGAGACTGACATGTTACCTCTCTCATTAGACTGTGGATGAAGCTATGGCGTCTTTTAGGGGGAGGGCTTTGCACCGCATACCCTACAACAAAAATCATACACATCACATTAGACTTCTCTGGGCAACCCTGGAGCCGCTTTCGTTCTCTGCCACACTCTCCTCAGGTTTTCCCTTATGCATCAAAGACCCCTCCCCAGAATGCTGGCTGTTCCCCTGTGGGTATCCCCAAGTGGGAGCAAAGTACACATCCTCTTACAGGACGTGGGTCCATTCACTTCAGCTCCAGTTCTCTCCTCATGTAGACCGGGGATGCTTCTAGGTTGAGGGGTGCCTCGGCACAGGTCACAGAGCGTGTGGACTGTTGCTTTTGCATGGCATTGGAAGCTCTGTCCAAAGTTATCTCCTTCTGCTCCGGATCCACAGCTTTCACTCACACTGGCTTCCGGTGGGGGCCCTGCCACCAAAGTCTCTCCTTATTAAGCCTTAAATTCCTCATTTGTAAAATGACACTAACTCTACCTACTTTAGGTTTTTGGGGAGACCTAAATGAGATAAGGCAGGTGAAACACCCAGCTCACATTACTTGGCCCGAGGAAGTCACTAAATAAACGGAAGCCATTTTCTGTCATGATACTTTTAATCCAATCACCTGGCACGTGGTCATATGGTAACTCAGTAAGTGTTTTTGGATTGGACTGCAGGAAGATGTGGTACATTGGGGGTATATCAGTCAGGGTCCTCCGGAGAAAAGGATCCAATAGAATGCATATTCTCTCTCTTCTCTCTCTCTCTTCTTTCTCTTCTTCTCTCTCTTTTCTTCTGTCTCTCTTGTCTGTCTCTGTCTCTGTCTCCTATCTGTCTCTATTGGGAGATGGATTTTTTTTTTAAGAGTTGGCTCATGGGATCATAGGTACTGGAAGTCCAAACTCCAAAGAGCAGGTTGCATGCTTGGAAATTTGATGTTGCGGTCTTGGGTCTGAAATCTGCAAGCAGGCCTGCACCATTTCTGTGTTGCAGTCTCGAGACCCGGTTGCTTCTTCCTTGGGATGCCTCAGTGTTTGCTCTTAAGGCCTTCAACTGATTGGATGAAGCTTGCCTCCGTTGTGGAGAGTAATGTGCTCTACTGAAAGTCTACCGATTGAAACGGTTAATCACATCCACAGATACCTTCCCAGCAACACGTAGAGTAGTGTCTGACCAAATGGCCAGGCACCAAGCCTAACCAAGTAGATGCATGAGATGAACCACCTCAGTAGGGAAATGGTACGCCGAGGGACAGCACCTTCCACGTAAAAGCTCTGGCCAGTGAACTTTCTGTATTCCCTCATCTCCAGTAGTAGTCTTTTCCCTCTCTTCAGAAGCTGCATGAGATGATGCAGGAAACTTGAGGTCGTGGTGTCTTCAGCAGAGATTTCACACAACATCTCTGCCTCTCTGGGACAGGTGTTGCTGGGACGAAATGGGGTGAGGAGTCGAAGGAAGGGACGTCACCTGTATTGCGCCAGCTGCTCCCGTCCCTCCACAGAGGGGACTTCTTTAGGCCTCATTGTCCTCATGCCTCATTGCACTCATGAGGATCATGAGTAACTTCATGGGTGTGGTTTGAGACTCTCACGGTGCACCTCAAATTCGGGCAGTACAGCATTTCTTTCTTTTTTTTTTTTTTTTTGAGTTGGAGTCTCACTCTGTCGCCCAGACTAGAGTGCAGTGGCCGCTCCCGGCCACCGCAACCTCGACCTGCTGGGCTCCGGGGATCCTTCCGCCTCAGCCTTCCAAGTAGCCGCAATTACAGGCGCGCGCTACCACGCCCGGCTGATTTTTAGATTTATTGTAGAGATGAGGTCTCGCTGCCCAGGCGGGTCTCGAACCCGCGGGCTCAGGCAATCCACTCACCTCAGCCTCCCAAAGGCGCCGGATTACAGGCTGAGCCACCGAGCCCGGCTCAGTACAGCATTTCATCTCAGAACTGATGAATGGAGAAGAGAGAGAAAAGTGGTGAAAACGCAGGCCAGTTGCGAGTTGATGTCTCCAAAGTCTCAGTCTTTCTTCACAAAAGGTGTTTGTGTGGTCTTTTCTGTTTCTTTGAGAATTGGCTTTCCGTATGAAGAAATACAATCCTGAGGGTCCTTGGGACATGGGAATATTGGTTGGGAGGTAATCGGGTTAAGATCATTTTCTAGATGGTTCACACATAAGTGTTTCTGTAAGGGTAGTGGTGGCCCAAAGGATGTAACCGAACTAACTGGTGGGAAGCATGGATTTCAGTTGCTGAAACGCAGAGACTCTCTTTCTGGCATGTATGTTTGTGCGTCTGTGTATGCGCTGTCAGGTCATTTGAGTCAAGACAG